TGCCGCCTTCAGTTCTTTCAAAAGAGCAATGAAGCCCTTCTTGTCTGCCTTCACTCCTGCGATACAACGCGAGTCAAATGAATGAAGAATGAAATACGTTTACAAGCACTCGAGGTACTTCGAGTGCAAAGATGCGTGTACTACAAATGCCCAAGTAATATTTTCAGACATATAAAGTTGAACTTGTCGTTAAATAATTTTATAAGGTATTTGATTAAACTCTGTGATTCGTAAAATATGTTAAATTTGAAATTTGTACATAATTTTCTGGTTTGGATTATTTTTTGTTAAAAATCCATTCCTGACTGCCATCCTGCCGCGGAAACCGTTACGGTTCTAATATGAGATTAAAGTTATTCTCACTGCGTGTACTACAAATGCCCAAGTAATATTTTCAGACATATAAAGTTGAAGCTGCCGTTAAACGATTTTATAAGGTATTTGATTAAACTCTGTGATTCGTGAAATATGTTAAATTTGAAATTTGTACATAAGTTTCCGGTTTCGATTATTTTTCGTCAAAAATCCATTCCTGACTGCTATCCTGCCGCAGAAACCGTTACGTTTCTAATATGAGATTAAAGTTATTCTCACATATGTCTATAATATATTCTCAAGAAAAAACTGGACGAATTTATTTTTAAAACCACGAAGCTTAATCTTTGAAATCCGTTCGGTCATTGCATATTTTATATGTCAGATTTCAAGATGATCAACATGAGAAATCCGAAATTGAAACGCGGACCAGAGCTTTTCCCATATGTCTCTGCAATAATGTTCCATTGTTTAAAGTGACAATCATTAAAAGTACATGAGCCGTCAGTTCATGCTAAAGACTTCAACAGGTCGAATATCGTTTACTTTCTGCACTTTCAACACAAAATAATAAATAATACCTCCACGTTGACAGGGATACTCCCAATCCATTTCCAATCCATCAAAATGATGCTTTTTAAGAAAAGCAACAGCGTTTTTAGCAAATGCCGTACGTAAATTAGCATGATTCACGACACGAGTGAAGTTTGTGCTAGCTGCATTCCATCCACCCATGCTAACGAGTATTTTCGGTGCTGTTTTCGTCTTCTTCAGAGCGACAAGTTTCCCGATATTATCTGCGTGATTCAGAAGAGATTTCATTGTTATACTTGTAAATTCTATTTATGATTATATTAATTGTTCATACTCTTTCCACCATGGTCTGGTAAATCGTTCTTCTTATCCAGGACGATGATATCTCCATTTGCCGTGAGACCGACAAATGCATAAATATAATGCGTGCATAAATTGGGTTCGATGTCGGAGACTTGGAAGTTGCCTTTTCCGGGACGATTCGTAGCCCAGCTTCCAAAATAGCACATCATTACTTTTCCCAAGACTGGACCCAAGAGGGTCGTCATTATGCAGATGATCACGGACAAGTTCATGATTGCCTAGTAGGTGATAAGTTTAACATAGCACAGAGTTAGGGAGTAATCGATTGAATATGAATAACGCAGCATACTAAATATTGAATACACTTTCCGTTGACTAAGTATTTCGTACCTTTTTCGGATACAGTCAACGCTCAGCCACTGGTCTACGTGCTGATTTCCCTCCTTTACAGCGTCGTACTGAATATGCGAATTTAGTACGCTCGATCTATGTATATTATTTATAGATATCTTAAACAAATTCATTAATGCGTTTCGTGCCAAGGTGGGCGTATACGCCTCTATACCAATAAGAAATTTCTTATTGGCCAATATAAAAATATTAGTTTGACATAGTGACGTTCGACTTTAATTTTTTACCATAAATTAAAAGATTGCGCCACAGGTGCGATGAATATTTGCGTAAGAGGGGATACTCAGGTGTAAAAGATATTGCAAAATTCCTTGTTCGTTCGTTAGTATTATAAAGTAATGTTCTTAGATAATCAAGAGACTCGGTCGAGTCTCGCGCCAAGTATAGGCAACCCGCCGTACAGGGCACGGCCCCCCGAGACTCTTTACTCGAAGCATCTCTTGTCCCTGTGTTTCGACTCAAATATTTTATGAACGGCTATGTGTGAGATAAAGTTATTGATACATTCATTATAGGAATCGAGGGTTCTAAATCGATTGCCACCAAGTTCAATACGATTAGTGTACGAGATCAGGGCGTATTCACATGGCGAGCGAGATGATTTTGTTTGAGGTTCGTCGTCGTCGTCATCGTCTTCGTCTTCGTCTTCGCACGTCCGTCTATTTTTTTATACGATAGATGACTGCTGACTGCTTTGCCTCCTTTACCTATTTGTACTCTGAATGGTGTTGGTAATTTACGAATACACAACACAATCAAATACAGTTTGTACCTGAAGCTACTGTTCACACCGAATTTCCAGTTAATATAAGGCTACTTTCACAATAGTACAGAATTATTAACGCTTTAATAGCATTAATGTGGAATGTGTGTATGGGTGTACGTATGTGTGTGCTTCGACATACTTCCTGTATTTTAAGTGACAGTTTTTAGAAATATAGGATGTCTAGGTGTCCCTCTCTGTAGTTTCCTGTATCTAGGTATCGGATTTTAAATAGATTCAGCAAATTCGTCTTATATACTTAAACCGTGAAATACCAAATCTATACTAGTGATTAGAAGGAGGAAAATGTTCAAGTATATGAGATTGATACAATGAAGATAATTTGGCAGTCCTGATCATAGTTAAATGATATAAACATTATCACAGGAATAAAAAATAAAAAATGTATAATCTAAAAAAAACTAGCCACCTTACACACAGCTATGAAACGCCGTAGCAAACACGGTTGCATAATTATTTCATTATGTACAAAGTTTTGGCTCACTTCCTTAAATTTTGCGAAAGCTGATGCAATAACGATATATTTTTGAAAATTTCAAAACCACGTAAAATCTGAACCGCTTTAGCGATCTTGTTGAAATTCAATACCAAACAACATTGAACGTATCTTCAGTTATGAAGAACTATTTAGCTAAATCGTCGAACCTTTACGAAAGTTAGAGCGACCACGCCCTTTTTTCAAAAAATTTTAAATCACATAAAATCTGAATGGCTGCATATATTTCATTAGAAATCGCAGCATTTAAAGAGGGATATCTACTTTACTTGCGTGCCAAATTTCAGTCCGATCGTTCTAACGGTTACTGAGTAAGAGGCAATTGAATTTTCGAAGCTCTGCACACACACACACACATACCTACATACATATATACGGACATTTTTTCTAAACTACTTTTCTTGACGTTTTAGACCATGTTAAGTATTCTAACATGAAAATCTCGAAAAAAAAATTTTCATGAAAACATAGCTTCCTCTATGAGGAAGCAAAAGTACTTCACCATCTTTTTTTTTACATTTATCCATCGTGCCAATTGTTGCGTGGTGATTCGATTTTATATTTCAAAATACTGTACGAGAAGCGAAATAATTTATTGTCTTGAAATTTGTATTCATTAATATTGTTAGGACGACGAATTGTACATAATTATAAATCCCTGTAGGATTATCGGCTGATACGATATTATTCACTGGTTAACTTACTGACAATGAGAAAATGACTTCAACGAATAAGTGCTTTTTAATGGACGAATAGATGCGTGGTATATTTTAAAATAAATTTAGTTATCTTCTCCATTTTTATTTTTTCCATGATCCTGATATTTAATCATGATTGATTGGGCCACGTGTTGTTTCGCGAATACTGCGCGCAACATCGCTTATATTAATATCAGGTATTTTACGTGCAAATATTTTACACGCCTTTCAAAGTTGGTTAAATGTATACTGTTTAAAAATAAATAAAATCATCAGTATTATTTTTAGTAATTAAGTATCTCAAAATATTTGAATAGCGTTCATCATTAATGAATCCCAGACAGTTATCCTCTCTGGGATTATGTCATGTACATACACGGAAGTTTCTTTGGTTTTGACGTAGTACCGTACGCTAACTGGTGATAAGCGATCATCTCATGCATACACAGTTACATTCCATTTTGTCCACTTTCCGCTCACGTTTCACTGGAAAAATGATAAGAGAATTCAATCAATGTCTTTATGGCGGCTTGTCGTATGCCTTTCTTTCTTTTTGATGTCTTTGTACACCTTTTTTTCATTTCTTTTGGCTCTACCTTTGATTATAAAGTATCGGACGTACCTCTTATCTATGCAGGTAATTTTCTAGACTTAAGAGGACTCGGAACCCATGATTCCCATGCGATTTAAATGTAACCAAATAGAATTGGTAAGTAACAGGTTTATCACAGAGGTTCTCGCCCGAAGCGGAATTTAGCGCGCAATCTGCTAGATCTACTATCATATTGGCACCAATTTCGCAATAATTAAATCAAAACTGAAGGACTAATCCGACCCAAAATTTTTTGCAATTTCCAAATTCACCTCGAAATTTTCGGGTCATCAAAATCCATGTTACATGCCCGTTGCCATCTTGGCCACCAACGTTCACGGTCGTCTATGCTCTAAGTGAGTAGTTGGGGTGGGGCTGATATGAGCCGATAATTTAATTTTAGACACAGAATAGACGTGTACTAGTATTTTTGATTGAACACAAATAAGTCAGACATGCCCGTGTATTATGTGTCTCGCGATTCTCATATGTAGAGTATATGTTAATGTATATGTATATAGAATTTCAATGGCAACGTCCATGAGAAGATTCAGGGGTCACTTGCTGTCTCTACGGTACTACCGATCAATCCTGTTTTCTTCTCAGCTGTTTCTTGTACGTGGCAATCAAAGTATCATAAGTATTTTATATTGTTGTATTTTATTTAATTACTTAATTTAATTAATTCGGTACAACATAATTCCTATTAGATTTGAAAGACTGAATAATATCTGACAAAAGTGAAAATGGTCAGTAGTAGTCAATAATATCGTTGGAAGTTCGTAAAAAAATCAGAAAACATTATAATGCATAATTTATTTCCCACAATCCATTTTAATAAAGGATTAAAAAGTTCTATAAAACATTTTAATCTTGTACATCTGGTACATTTTCTTGTACATCTCGTGAATTCGGGGTCTGAAAGTAAACACAGCAATTACAGTACAGCGACATTAGTAACATTCATAATATATTCATGAGAATCCTTAGCCTATGTTAAGAAGCAATTTCTTATGTTGGCACCACTCGTAGATGGCCACGTGTAGGATGGCGTCTGTTTAATTTTCTCCCTTCCTCTGTGGGTGTAACAAAAAAGGAATGGTTCCTTCGCTTCATAGAGCATTTGGATGCGTAAATTGGACCTTCTACTGACTACATGTAATCTTAGCTACTTACAGAATGGAGTGCTCTCCTAGAAGCCTTAAGAAGTGGATAAGGGCCGCAGCCACAATTTCCCCTGAAGTCATCAGTTTCTATGCTCCAGAACATTATGCCAGCGAGTCCAAGCTTCTTAGCGTATTTTATTTTTATCGCTAAACTTTTTTCATTATCGAATCCTATCCACTGATCTCCACTGTACGCATAAGGCACTTTCTGTTCTTCATACCAGACAGTGGTCCAGTTTCCACTTAATTGTTTTTCGCACAACTCATTGTAACCTTTAATCAAAGGATAATCACACAAATAAACACAGTGTACCAAAATAGTACAATATTGCTATTAATTAATTTTACCGACCAAGGCTACCAGCGCCGCCCGTGTAGGGACCGGCAAGTCCTGGACCAGCTGATGGACTTCCGGGTGTAGTCTTTGAAGTAACGGCCAATGTGAATGTCCTTCCATAAAGAGGCAATCCAAGTACCAATTTCGAAGCAGGAGCACCACTTTTCAGCCAGAACTTGATAGACGCTTCCTGTGAAAGATTCAGATATTTTTAGATCTTTTCATAATAAAATAGCGGCAGTACATTGCTGCAACACTTACTATATTGTTCTGCAATAAGGTAGCATTATGTGCTTGATATTTGGCAGCAACCATTGGAGCGTGATGTCCGACAACGAAATGCATAGATATAATGCGTGCATAAATCGGGTTCGATGTCGGACACTTCGAAGTGGCCATTTCCAACACGATACGTAGCCCAGCTTGCGAAATAGCACATCATTACTTTTCCCAAGGCTGGACCCAAGAGGGTCGTCATTATGCAGATGATCACGGACAAGTTCATGATTGCCTAGTAGGTGATAAGTTTAACACAGTATAGAGTAAAGGAGTAATTGTTTGAATATGAGTAACTCGGTATATACTAGATATTAAATACTCCTTCCGTTGTATTTCGTACCTTTTTCGGATACAGTCAACGCTCAGCCACTGGTCTAGGTGCCAATTTCCCTGCTTTACGGCGTCGCACGGAATATGAGAATTTAGTGCGCTCGATGCATATATATTATTCATAGATATCTTAAACAAATTAATTAGTGCGTTTCGTGCTTCGTTGGCTATATACGTCCCTATACGAATAAGAAACTTTTTATTGGCCAATATAATAGTATTAGTTTGAGATAGTCTCGTTTGACTTTAATTCTCTAGCATACGTTAAAAGATTGCACAGCAGGTGCGATGAATATTTGCGTAAGAGGAGATACTCAGGTGTAAAAGATATTGCAAAATTTTCTTCTTCGTTCGTTTATATTATAAAAGGATGTTCTTAGATAATTTTGTGTTACGATAAAATTAAATTCACGTCATTTGAATAAATTCCAATATTGTTTAACGGAATGACACTTGAATTCATAATAGCTTAATAGCGTTATAAAACATTTCGTTTTATCTGTAATATTTCCTTTTGTATCTTCAGTATTTCTATATTGCATGTCAGTTGTGAGTTACTCCCAATTGACGTTCAACCCATCAAAGTTATACGTTTTAAGGAAAGTAACAACATTTTTGACAAAAGTTGCACGAGTCGTTGGATCGGTTACCATTGGACTGAAAGTAGTACTGCCATGGTTCCAACCACCAATGCTTATCATTACCTTAGTACTTGGTGAGATCTCTTTGAGTGCTACGAATTTTCGAAAGCCATCTGCAATAAACAGGTGTAAATTCAATTCATAAAATATATGTTTATCATCAAATTGAACCTATTTTTCATGTTTTGCAATACCTTTACCACCACCTTCTGGTAAGTCGGCCCATGGATCGAATATGGTTATCCAACCATTAGCAGAAACTCCAATAAAAGCATAGATTATGTGGGTGCATATTGTGGGATCCATATGCTCTGAACCAAATAGCCCATTGCCTGGTCTATATGCAACCCAGCTTCCATAGTAGCACAGTATGACATATCCAAAGTTGACAGAAAAAATGATTTTATTTTGGAAACATTAAAAAATGGAGATAATACAATTAATTAGTATATATTAAGGATAAATGATATAATTACATTGAACGTGCGTTTGATTGGTATAATTAAAATAAGGCTGCAAACTGGAACCTTGCAAATTGCTTCCTCATTATTTTACTTGGTTTTTTCTATCACAATGATGCAAAGTAGAATCTTACACTTTGCTTCTTGATTCTTTTCTTTCGTTCAAAAAGCCTCCACTATGAGGAAGTTCTTTGATTTATTTTCGCGAGTTGTGTACAATTGATCTTTGGTACTTACAGGAATAAAAAATAAAAAATGTATAATCTAAAAAAAACTAGCCACCTTACACACAGCTATGAAACGCCGTAGCAAACACGGTTGCATAATTATTTCATTATGTACAAAGTTTTGGCTCACTTCCTTAAATTTTGCGAAAGCTGATGCAATAACGATATATTTTTGAAAATTTCAAAACCACGTAAAATCTGAACCGCTTTAGCGATCTTGTTGAAATTCAATACCAAACAACATTGAACGTATCTTCAGTTATGAAGAACTATTTAGCTAAATCGTCGAACCTTTACGAAAGTTAGAGCGACCACGCCCTTTTTTCAAAAAATTTTAAATCACATAAAATCTGAATGGCTGCATATATTTCATTAGAAATCGCAGCATTTAAAGAGGGATATCTACTTTACTTGCGTGCCAAATTTCAGTCCGATCGTTCTAACGGTTACTGAGTAAGAGGCAATTGAATTTTCGAAGCTCTGCACACACACACACACATACCTACATACATATATACGGACATTTTTTCTAAACTACTTTTCTTGACGTTTTAGACCATGTTAAGTATTCTAACATGAAAATCTCGAAAAAAAAATTTTCATGAAAACATAGCTTCCTCTATGAGGAAGCAAAAGTACTTCACCATCTTTTTTTTTACATTTATCCATCGTGCCAATTGTTGCGTGGTGATTCGATTTTATATTCCAAAATACTGTACGAGAAGCGAAATAATTTATTGTCTTGAAATTTGTATTTATTAGTATTGTTAGGACGACGAATTGTACATAATTATAAATCCCTGTAGGATTATCGGCTGATACGATATTATTCACTGGTTAACTTACTGACAATGAGAAAATGACTTCAACGAATAAGTGCTTTTTAATGGACGAATAGATGCGTGGTATATTTTAAAATAAATTTAGTTATCTTCTTCATTTTTATTTTTTTCTACGGTCATGATATTTAATCATGGTTCATTGGGCCACGTGTTGTGTCGCGAATACTACGCGCAACGTCGCTTATATTGTACAAATGTTCGACGGCAGTCAGTAATATTGTTGGATGGCAGTAAAAAAATCCCAAAAGACTGCAATGCATGATTTATTTTTCACAATCCATCTCGATAAAGGATTACATAGTTCTACAGAATATTTTAATCTTCTTGTACATCTTCTTCTCTATCATCTTCTTCTGTATCATCTTCTTCTGTATCATCTTCTTCTCTATCATCTTCTTCTATATCATCTTCTTCTCTATCATCTTCTTCTCTATCATTTTCTTCTATATCATCTTCTTCTCTATCATCTTCTTCATCTTCTTCTACATTATATAGTATACCTCCTCGTAAAGTCTTTTTCTGAAAGTAAACACAGCAATTACAGCAGATTAGTAACATACCTAATATATTCATGAGAATCATTAGCCTACGTTAAGAATCAATTTCTAATATTGGCACCACTCGTAGATGTCTACGTGTAGGATGGCGTCTGTTTATATTTCTCCGTTCGTTTGTGGGTGTACCAAAAAACAAATGGTTCCTTCGCTTTATAGAGAATTTGGATGCGTAAATTGGACCTTCTACCCACTAAATGTAATCTTAGCTACTTACAGAATGGAGTGCTGTCCTAGAAGCCTTAAGAAGTGGATAAGGGCCGCAGCCACAATTTCCCCTGAAGTCATCAGTTTCTATGCTCCAGAACATTATGCCAGCGAGTCCAAGCTTCTTAGCATAATGTATTTTTACTGCTAAACTTCTTTCATTATCGTATCCTATCCACTGGTTTCCCTTATAAGCATAAGGCACTTTCTGTTTTTTATCCCAGACCCTTGTCCAGTTTGCATCAAATTGTTTTTCGCAAAACTCATTGTAACCTGTAATTAAAAGTATCTCCCATAATCGCACAAATAAATGCAGTATATCAAAAAATTCCAATATTGCTAGTAATTAATTTTACCGACCAATGTAACCAGCTTCACGCGTGTAACGGCCGGCATGCCCTGGACCAGCTGACGGACTTCCGGGTTTAGTCAATGTAACATGGGCCAATGTGAATGTTCTTCCATAAAGAGGCAATCCAAGTACCAATTTCGAAGCAGGAGCACCACTTTTCAGCCAGAACTTGATAGACGCTTCCTGTGAAAGATTCAGATATTTTTAGATCTTTTGACAATTAAATGGCGGCAGTACATTGCTTCTACACTTACTATATTGTTCTGCAATAAGGTAGCATTATGTTCTTGATAACTGGCAGCAACCATTGGAGCGTGATGTCCTACAACTTTAGAGGAAGATGCAGTAGTCAAGTCATAAGTCATGACATTAATGTAATCCACGATACTGTAAAATAATTTGTACAGAAAAATTAATTAATTATTCAAACAATTATTCATCGCAATAAATAAAATCAGTGAATCCTTTACTTGGCTAGTTCTGGAATGTTGTAAGACGGAGTTGCAAGATGTTTGGTAGCTCCAACTGCAGCAGTTAGGAGAAGTCCTTCCTTTACAAATGCCGCCTTCAGTTCTTTCAAAAGAGCAATGAAGCCCTTCTTGTCTGCCTTCACTCCTGCGATACAACGCGAGTCAAATGAATGAAGAATGAAATACGTTTACAAGCACTCGAGGTACTTCGAGTGCAAAGATGCGTGTACTACAAATGCCCAAGTAATATTTTCAGACATATAAAGTTGAAGCTGCCGTTAAACGATTTTATAAGGTATTTGATTAAACTCTGTGATTCGTGAAATATGTTAAATTTGAAATTTGTACATAAGTTTCCGGTTTCGATTATTTTTCGTCAAAAATCCATTCCTGACTGCTATCCTGCCGCAGAAACCGTTACGTTTCTAATATGAGATTAAAGTTATTCTCACATATGTCTATAATATATTCTCAAGAAAAAACTGGACGAATTTATTTTTAAAACCACGAAGCTTAATCTTTGAAATCCGTTCGGTCATTGCATATTTTATATGTCAGATTTCAAGATGATCAACATGAGAAATCCGAAATTGAAACGCGGACCAGAGCTTTTCCCATATGTCTCTGCAATAATGTTCCATTGTTTAAAGTGACAATCATTAAAAGTACATGAGCCGTCAGTTCATGCTAAAGACTTCAACAGGTCGAATATCGTTTACTTTCTGCACTTTCAACACAAAATAATAAATAATACCTCCACGTTGACAGGGATACTCCCAATCCATTTCCAATCCATCAAAATGATGCTTTTTAAGAAAAGCAACAGCGTTTTTAGCAAATGCCGTACGTAAATTAGCATGATTCACGACACGAGTGAAGTTTGTGCTAGCTGCATTCCATCCACCCATGCTAACGAGTATTTTCGGTGCTGTTTTCGTCTTCTTCAGAGCGACAAATTTCCCGATATTATCTGCGTGATTCAGAAGAATTAATATTTAATAAATTAATAAATAATTAATATTTATAAAGGTTATTTGCACGTTACAAATTAATATTGAGATTTTATTATACTTGTAAATTCTATTTATGATTATATTAATTGTTCATACTCTTTCCACCACGGGTTGGTAAATCGTTACGCTCATCCAGGACTCTGATATCTCCATTTGCCGTGAGACCGACAAATGCATAAATATAATGCGTGCATAAATTGGGTTCGATGTCGGAGACTTGGAAGTTGCCTTTTCCGGGACGATTCGTAGCCCAGCTTCCAAAATAGCACATCATTACTTTTCCCAAGGCTGGACCCAAGAGGGTCGTCATTATGCAGATGATCACGGACAAGTTCATGATTGCCTAGTAGGTGATAAGTTTAACACAGTACAGAGTAAAGGAGTAATTGTTTGAATATGAGTAACTCGGTATATACTATATATTAAATAGTCCTTCCGTTGTATTTCGTACCTTTTTCGGATATGGACAACGTTCAGTCACTGGTCGACGTGCCAATTTCCCTGCTTTACGGCGTCGGACGGAATATGAGAATTTAGTGCGCTCGGTACATATATACTATTCATAGATATCTTAAACAAATTCATTAGTGCGTTCCGTGCTACGTGGGCTATATACGTCCCTATACGAATAAGAAACTTCTTATTGGTCAATAAATTAAAATATTGCGCCACAGGTGCAAAGAATATTCGCGTGAGAGGGGATACTCAGCTGCAAAAGATATTTTACGATTTTCTTGTTCGTTCGTTCGTATTATAAAATGATATTCTTAGTTTATTTTGTATTACGGTAATATGAATATTATACAGTTATTCGTCCGGACAGAATCGCAGTACATTTCCCCGTATACCAGGTCTCCGTATAGGAAGTGGCCCCGTATTCTCTTTCTAGTACACACTGTGGGACGACCACCAAGCATTCGCACCCTGTGACCATAGCCTAACCTGTCCTAGTCAAGGACTTACAAAATGTAAAATAACACATCCGGACGAATAAAATACAGTTATTGGTCCGACATAGCTATACATTATACGTATAATATAGCTGAAACTTATTTTTGAAAATGTCAATGGATTTGGCCAATTGCCGGACGACTAGATACTGCGTAAAATATGCATATACATTGTCCTCAAGAGCTTCCTTCAGTTCTGACAGTAAATAGACATAATTCACCACATTGGTACTTATACCTGAAGTTATTTATCAAAAATATATAGCGTTGTCTAGCCAAACACAGTATATAAATAGTATTTGTCTAGATAGTAGTGCTACGTTGTGGAGGATACTCCCAATTGACGTCTAAACCATAGAAGTTATACGTTTTAAGGAAAGCAACGATATTTTTGACAAAAGTTGCACGAGTCGTTGGATCGGTTACCATTGGACTGAAAGTAGTACTGCCATGGTTCCAACCACCAATGCTTATCATTACCTTAGTACTTGGTGAGATCTCTTTGAGGCCTACGAATTTTCGAAAGCCGTCTGCAATTAACGGGTATAAATTCAATTCATAAAATATATGGTTATCATCAGATTGAAATTATTTTTCATGTTTTGCGATACCTTCACCACTACCTCCTGGTAAGTGGGCCCATGGATCGAATATGGTTATCCACCCATTAGCAGAAACTCCAATACAAGCATAAATTATGTGTGTGCATATTGTGGGATCCATATGCTCCGGATTAAATAGCCTGGTCTATATGCAGTCCAGCTTCCATATGCAGTAGCCCAGTATGATATGTCCAAGGGCAGTTGACAGTAAAAGTGATTTTATTTTGGAAACATTAAAAAATGAAGATAATACAATTAATACACAGGAAACAGTATAAATTAAGGATAAATGATATAATTACAATTAACGTACTTTGTATTGGTATAATTTAAAGATACTCCATGATTCTCGCACGTATATTTTAAATAGATTCAGCAAATTCGTCTTATGTACTCAAACCGTGAAATACCAAATCTATACTAGTGATTAGAAGGAGGAAAATGTTCAAGTATATGAGATTGATACAAAGACGATAATTTGGCAGTCCTGATCATAGTTAAATGATATAGACATTATCGAAGCTGATGCAATAACGATATATTTTTGAAAATTTCAAAACCACGTAAAATCTGAACCGCTTTAGCGATCTTGTTGAAATTCAATACCAAACAACATTGAACGTATCTTCAGTTATGAAGAACTATTTAGCTAAATCGTCGAACCTTTACGAAAGTTAGAGCGACCACGCCCTTTTTTCAAAAAATTTTAAATCACATAAAATCTGAATGGCTGCATATATTTCATTAGAAATCGCAGCATTTAAAGAGGGATATCTACTTTACTTGCGTGCCAAATTTCAGTCCGATCGTTCTAACGGTTACTGAGTAAGAGGCAATTGAATTTTCGAAGCTCTGCACACACACACACACATACCTACATACATATATACGGACATTTTTTCTAAACTACTTTTCTTGACGTTTTAGACCATGTTAAGTATTCTAACATGAAAATCTCGAAAAAAAAATTTTCATGAAAACATAGCTTCCTCTATGAGGAAGCAAAAGTACTTCACCATCTTTTTTTTTACATTTATCCATCGTGCCAATTGTTGCGTGGTGATTCGATTTTATATTTCAAAATACTGTACGAGAAGCGAAATAATTTATTGTCTTGAAATTTGTATTTATTAATATTGTTAGGACGACGAATTGTACATAATTATAAATCCCTGTAGGATTATCGGCTGATACGATATTATTCACTGGTTAACTTACTGACAATGAGAAAATGACTTCAACGAATAAGTGCTTTTTAATGGACGAATAGATGCGTGGTATATTTTAAAATAAATTTAGTTATCTTCTTCATTTTTATTTTTTCTACGGTCATGATATTTAATCATGGTTCATTGGGCCACGTGTTGTTTCGCGAATACTGCGCGCAACATCGCTTATATTAATATCAGGTATTTTACGTGCAAATATTTTACATGCCTTTCAAAGTTGGTTAAATGTATACTGTTTAAAAATAAATAAAATCATCAGTATTATTTTTAGTAATTAAGTATCTCAAAATATTTGAATAGCGTTCATCATTAATGAATCCCAGACAGTTATCCTCTCTGGGATTATGTCATGTACATACACGGAAGTTTCTTTGGTTTTGACGTAGTACCGTACGCTAACTGGTGATAAGCGATCATCTCATGCATACACAGTTACATTCCATTTTGTCCACTTTCCGCTCACGTTTCACTGGAAAAATGATAAGAGAATTCAATCAATGTCTTTATGGCGGCTTGTCGTATGCCTTTCTTTCTTTTTGATGTCTTTGTACACCTTTTTTTCATTTCTTTTGGCTCTACCTTTGATTATAAAGTATCGGACGTACCTCTTATTTATGCAGGTAATTTTCTAGACTTAAGGGGACTCGGAACCCATGATTCCCATGCGATTTAAATGTAACCAAATAGAATTGGTAAGTAACAGGTTTATCACAGAGGTTCTCGCCCGAAGCGGAATTTTTGCGCGCAATCCGCTAGGTCAACTATCGTCTTGGCAGCAATTTGGCAATAATTAAATCAAAACTGAATGACTAATCGGGTCCAAAGTTCTTTGCAATTTTGAAGTTCACTTCGAAATTTTCGGGTCGATAAAACCTATCGTAAGAATGTTCGAGAAATCGGGGAATGATCCATGTTACATGCCCGTTGCCATCTTGGTCACCAACGCTCACGGTCGTCTATGCTCTAAGTGAGTGAATATCAGACAGGGAACACCCAGTAATATCGAGGCACCACCGAACAGACGTCATAAGGGAACGTGGACGATCGCCGAAAACACTTTGTGACGTCCACCCCAAAGAGTTAGAGGACCCGTTGCCCTATCACATGCCTATTGGCCGCAGAAGAGGCGCGAAAGTGGCGTGTCCAGCCGTACGTGCCAAAGGCCCTACGCACCCTGTTCCGAAAAGCGCCTCTCGAACCTCAAGCATAGACGGTGGCTGGCGGGAGGAAGTCCACGTGATCCTTCCGAGAAACCGAAGAAGGAGGACGCGCCTTCGCACCCCTGTAGCCAAGGCGATAAGGAGGATGATACCTGGACCCTACCAAGGGCCCAATCAGGAGGCTGCCCTAGTATTCTAAGCCCGGGAAGAACTAGCTACCGTCGAGAACCGGCCCCGTAAATGGGGAACCGTGCACCTCGTTGGAAGTAAGGAAACTCGTTGGGCATAATCGCTCTAGTCTATCACAGTATTAATACTATGATAACTTGAGTAACTTTCGTACCGCCCTGTCGAAATGAAAAGGGGATCATAACCAGGTTTAAATTTTGGTGTGTGAATAAGTTCGGTATAGGACCTAAAGCGTCGGATTAGCTGTGGAGAATTTCACCACCGGCCGAACCCCGAGGCGATACATCGCTCTCCTGCTGGCTGTCCGTGGTTACGTCCAGACGTGAAAAATTTCATTGTTAGGTTAGTGAGTTCTGAGGTTCGATTCGCGTGGAATTTTCCTAGCATTAGTGCCGCCTGGTATCGCTATGGAATCCTTCCGATTCGAGGCTATTCTCATATTCGGGAAAATTCCGTGGTTATTGTATCTTAGCTTATTATATCGAATAATTGTGTTAAGCAGATTAGTAGAGACGAATTCTAGTTAAGAGTTAGTTAATTCTATATTACGGATCCTGGAGTGTGGCCACTGAGACTACGTGCTGTGATCGCCTCTCGATTACGTGACGTACCTTATTATGCGTTTGCTTCTATCTTACTTTGCTTTGTTATTTTCAGAAGCTATTGATCTGTATTTTATCTGTTCATTATTTATTTCATTCTCGCGAATATTAAATCGCGATTGTCTTACCCATATTATACCTGTGCCTTATTATTGTCTAATTCATATGTGCATATATACCATTGCTTAGCGTTCTCTAGTGATAGTGCTTTCGTCTTTTTCTAACTTACTAACCTTGGGACTATCGTTCCGTGAACGATGCGCTATTAGCTACGCCCATGTAGTATTGCTGATAGGGCTATCGCACTATTGTTATTCGGTGAGAAGATTCAGGACTCACTTGCTGCCTTTACAACACTTCGCCTCTGATCAACTTTGTTTTCCAGTCCGCTGTTTCGTGTATGTGGCAATTGGAGTTTCGTGTTTATATTATATACTGTTGTATTTTATTTAACTATATTATATTCGGTCCAACGTAATTCCTATTAGATTTGAAAAACTGAATAGTATCTGACAGAACTACAAATGGTCAATAGTAGTCAATAATACCGTTGAATGTTGATAAAAAAAAATAAAAAAATATTATAATGCCCAATTTATTTCCCACAATTCACCTCGATAATGGATTACAAAGTTCTATAGAATATTTTAATCTTGTCCATCATCTTCATCTCCTTCTGAAGTCGTAATCTGAAAGGGAACACAGCAATTACAGTACAGCGACATTAGTAATATTCATAATATATTCATGACAATCATTAGCCTATGTTAAGAAGCAATTTCTTATGTTGGCACCACTCGTAGATGTCTACGTGTAGGATGACGTCCGTTTAATTTTCTCCCTTCCTCTATGGGTGTACCAAAAAACGAATGGTTCCTTCGCTTTATAGAGCATTTGGATGCGTGAATTGGACCTTGTACCAACTAAATGTAATCTTAGCTACTTACAGAATTGAGTGCTTTCTTAGAAGCCCTAAGAAGCGGATAACGGCCGTGGCCACAATTTCCCGTGAAATCATCAGTTTCTATGCTCCAGAACATTATGCCAGCGAGTCCAAGCTTCTTAGCGTAATTTATTTTTGTCGTTAAACTTCTTGTATTATCGAATCCTACCCACTGGGATCCTCTGAAAGCATAAGGCACTGACTGTTCCTTATACCAGACAGTAGTCCAGTTTCCACCTTTTTGTTTGTTGCACAACTCATTAAAACCTGCAATCGAAAGTATGCTCTCATAATCGCACAAATAAATGCAGTATATCAAAATAGTACAATATTGCTATTATATAATTTTACCGACCCATGCTACCAGCTTCACGCGTGTAGGGGCCGGGATGTCCTGGACCAGCTGACGGACTTCCGGGTGTAGTCAATGTAACATGGGCCAATGTGAACGTTCTTCCATAAAGAGGCAATCCAAGTACCAATTTTGAAGCAGGAGCACCTCTCTTCATCCAGAAACTGAGAGACGATTTCTGTGAAAGATTCAAATATTTTTAGATCTTTGACAATTAAATGGCGGGAGCACATTGCTTCTACACTTACTACATTGTTATGCATTAATCTAGAACTGTTTGCTTGATAACTGGCAGGAGCCAGTGGTGCGTGATGTCCTACAATGGTCGAGAAAGTTGCACCAACCATGTCAAATGTCATGACATTAATGTAATCCACGGCTCTGTAAAAATATTTGTGTAGACAAATGAATTAATCATTGGAACAATTATTTATCTCAGTAAATAAAACCAGTGAATCCTTTACTTGGATAGTGCTGCAATTTCGTAAGATGGAATTGCAAGATCTTCGGCAGCTCCAACTGCTACAGTTACGAGGAGTCCTTTCTTCACAAATGCCGCCTTCACTTCATTCGCAAATACGATGAACGTTTTCCTGTCGGCAGGCCTTCCTGCGATACAACGTGAGTCAAACGAATGAAGAACGAAATACGTTTACAAGCACTGGAGGTAATTCGCAATATTTTCAAACATATAAAATTGTACCTGCCGTTAAACGATTCTATAATGTATTTCATTAAACTCTGTGATTCATAAAATATGCTAAATTTGGAATTTTTACATAATTTTCTGTTTTCGATTACTTTTTCTTAAAAAATCCAATCCTGACTGCTATCCCGCCGCGGAAACCGTGACGGTTCCAATATATGAGATTGAGCTTATTCTCGCGTATGTCTATAATATGTTCTCTAAAGAAACTTCGATCACTTTATTATTATATATATGTATATATATTATAAAGCGCGAAGCTTAATCTCTGAAATTTGCTCGGCCTATTGCATATTTTATATTTCAGATTTCAAGATGATTAAGCTGAGAAATCTGAATTTGAAACACGGACCAGAGCTTTTTCCATACGCCTCTGTGATAATGTTTGATTTTTTTAAAGTGACAATCATTAAAAATACACGAGCCGTCAGCACGTGCTGAAAGCTTCATACTGGTTGAATATCGCCTACTTTCTGTACTTAAAGTGCGATATAGTTAATAATACCTCCATTTTGAGCGGGATAATCCCAAGCCACATCCAATCCATCAAAATTATACTTTTCCAGAAAAGTAATGAGGTTTTTAACAAATTTCTCTCGATAATGTCTATTGTTCACGATAATAGTGAAGTTCGTACTAGCTGCATTCCATCCACCGATGCCAGCGAGTACTTTGGGTGCTGTTTTCGTATTTTTCAGAGCGACAAATTTCCCGATATTATCTGCATAATTCAGAAGAATTAATTAATTACATTACTTGTACGTTACAAATTAATATTGAGATTTGATTATACTTGTGAATTCTATTTATGATTATATTAATTATCCATACTCTTTCCACCATTGTCAGGTAAATCATTCCACGGATCCAGGGAGAAGATATCTCCGTTTGCCGCGGCACCGATAAATGCATAAATATAATGCGTGCATAAACTGGGATCGATGTTGGACACTTGGAAGTTGCCTCTTCCAGGACGATACGTAGCCCAGCTTCCGAAATAGCATATCATTACTTCTCCCAAGGCTGGACCCAAGAGGGTCGTCATTATGCACATGATCACGGACAGGTTCATGATTGCCTAGTAGGTAATAAATTTAACACAGTACACAGTAAGGGAGTAATTGATTGAATATGAATAACACAGTATGTTGACTAAGTATTTCGTATGTTTTCTGGTTATAGACGACGCTCAGCCACTGGTCGACGTGCTGATTTCCCTCCTTTACAGCGTCGTACTGAATATGCGAATTTAGTGCGCTCGATGCATGTATTTATATGTATCTTAAACAAATACTTTAATACGTTCCGTGCTACGTGAGGAGCATACGCCTTTATATGAATGAGAGACTTTGTATTAGCCAATATGGAAATATTAATTTTAGATAATCTCGTTTGACTTTAATTTTCTATCATAAATGAAAGAATTGCGCCACAGGTGCAAAGAATATTTGCGTAAGAGGGGATACTCACAAGGAATGTACCTAAGGTGTCCCCCTCCGATTTTGTTTCTCTTGAAATATGTTATTCTCCATTAAAATCTAAGAGACACGTTTCTTTTTATCGGTGGAAAAATGGTTTTAGGGGGTTGAACGTACGTTGCATTTGTATAATTAAAAAAGTACTCCAGGATTTTCGCTCGTGTACTTAAAATTGAATAACAAATTCGCCTTATGCATTTGATGCGTGAAATACCAAATATATGCTTATGATTAGAAAAAAGAAAATGTTCAAGTAAGTATATGAGTTTGGTAAAAGCGGTAATTTGGCAGTCCTGATCATATATAAATGACATAAACATTATCGCACTATAGAATTTCTGCGTCGCAGGAATTTATTAGTCATCGGCATATAAATTCATCTCAATCTGTTTCAGTGATTTCGACTTACTTGGAAGAACGTCTACTTCTTTGTCATTAATGATATATCTCATTCACTGTAATATTTAATCTTACTAAAATTATTATTCATTACTACGTAACAAGTCATGTCTCATGGATCATAAGTGATAACTAGATTTATAACAAGCAATAATTTGATAAGGCCATTAATTTTAAATATTAACTAAAATATATATTTTAAATGGATTAAAGTAAATTTCTTGTAATGAAATTTTATTTTGATGCCGTAAGAGTGTAATTACGTATCTAATCATAATACCTAATATTAATCAAGAGACTCGGTCGAGTCTCGCGCCAAGTACAGGCAACCGGCTGTACGGGGCATGGCCCGCCGAGACTCCTTACTCGAGTCAACTCCTTATACCTGTGTTTGGAACGAAATATCTTATGAACCGCTATATATGAGGAAAAGTTATTGATATATTCACTATAGGAATTAAAGATTCTGAAGCGATTGCCACCACGTTCAATACGATTTGTGTACGAGATCAGGGCGTAATATTTCGTTCCAAACACAGGTATAAGGAGTTGACTCGAGTAAAGAGTCTCGGCGCGCTGCGCCCTGTACAGCCGGTTGCCTGTACGTGGCGCGAGACTCGACCGAGTCTCTTGATACCTGTGTTTGGAACGAAATATCTTATGAACCGCTATATATGAGGAAAAGTTATTGATATATTCACTATAGGAATTAAAGATTCTGAAGCGATTGCCACCACGTTCAATACGATTTGTGTACGAGATCAGGGCGTATTGAGATGGCGAGCGAGATGATTTTATTTCAGTTCCGTCGTCGTCGTCGTCGTCGTCTTCGCACGTCCATCAACTTTTTTACACGACAGATGGCGCTGACTGCTTTGCCTTCTTT